AGCTCGCGCCCAAAAACCCGCTAGCTTTTGGCCACTGCACTCCTGCGCGCTGCGGCGTCCTTGTGTCCCCCTCATGCCCCCCCTTGAAACGTGCCTGAGGCGCGCGAGGGGTCTTTGGGTTCTCGCGACGTCGGGGTGAGGCAAAAAATTGCGACGAGGGGCCGAGAAAGTGGAACGTCGGAGGGCCTTGCGGCGTCGGCCGACCTTCGCGACGCCCGAGCTGTCAGCGCACGCTGATGGGGCGCGCCGCGGTCGCTCGAACAAGCGCGTCGCCGACGAGGTCGAGTTCGGGAAGGAGAAGAGAAGGCGACGTCGGGGGGTTGAGGCGCGCGCGCGAAGAACGAACGTTCCGTCGGGGGCGCCGAGCAGATGTTCCCCCGCAGACGATATGGCGAACTTCTGCGACCAGCGCCAGGACGCCATGGCGGGCCTGCTCTCCGGCTCGACGTCCCCGGCGGAGGTGACGTCGTCGACGCGCGGGCACTTCCCCGCGGAGGACACGCAGATGGAGATGCTCATCGACGGCACGGGCGGCCCGCCGACGCCGGCCCAGCCGTCGAAGAAGCACTTCGAGGCGCGGCCCGACGCCATGGAGGGCGGCGAGGTGGGCATGACGACGACGACGGAGCCCGCGCCGTTCAAGCCGTCGATCAAGACGGCCGTGGCCAAGCCCGAGGGCCACGGCAACATCATCGCCCAGGACACGGCGCCGACGGACCTGTCCTGCGCGCACCACCACAAGCGCGTCTTCGGCGGCAAGTCCGGCGGCACGGAGAGCGTCGTCGAGGAGGTGCCCGTCGCGAAGCGCGCGCGCGCGGACCTCGACGACTCGCGCGTCAAGGCCGCGCTCCACCCCGAGGTCGCGGCGCCCGAGGAGCCCGCGGCGGGCATGAAGAAGCAGGTCGACCACGTGGCCAACCACGAGGACCGCGTGCTCACGGGCGGCGGCGCGGACGGCCCCGAGCGCGCGACGCGGAAGCACTTCCCGGGCCGCGGCAACGAGGCCGACGACGTCGCGCTCGACCACCCCAAGTCGGCCAAGAAGGCGCCCAAGCCGCCCGCGCCCGCGCCCGCGCCCGCGGCGCCCGTCGACGCGCCCGTCGCGGGCCTCTCGTCCGCGACGGCGAACCGCGTCAAGGCGCTCGCGACGGCGACGAACGCGCCGGCCCACGACGGCGCGGGACAAGAGAGCGAAATTCCCAACTTCAAAGGCTCATATCTCGGCCGTTTTCCACTCGTTTCGGCTGATTTTTGGACGAGCGATCATCTCTCGGAACGGCCTCGAAGCGTGGATGTGTTTTCCGTAACGCGCGCGCGCGGAACACTCACGTT